GATTCTCTTGACTGAAAGAGGCTTGCATGTGCTATAGCCCCAAAATATTTTATCATACCACTCGTTCCTTTACCCCTTGTTCCACAACAGACACTGAACTTCATTGCTGGTTATTGTGTCCTAAACATGGCTGTCTTCACAGAGAAGGGAGCACCTGTGAGAATCCAACCCAGGATTTTGCTTCTGTTTTCACTGGAGGCCTCATGGATTGAGTTGAGGTTCCATGAATGCAAACCCTGTGCTCTCTAATGCCCTCTGCGTTGGCAGGATGGTGAGGGACCAGCAAGCTGTTCTGTTATACCAACCGCAGAACTATTCTGAATTCTTGCATGCCATTTCTTTCCCAAACACCAAGAACTGTTCCATTTGCCAATGAATTCATCAGTTGGTTCCCCAGATGAAAGTTTCCTGTAATTGAACTGACTGCAGATGGAGAGAAGTATGTTCAGCGTTTTAATTGCTCAGCCTGTTTGGTTCAGATTAATATTCTAGAAGGAAGGAAATTGATCTTAGCCACCCCGCCATCTTGTTCCCTTTGGATCTTCTTGTCAGCACTTAGGGATACTAATCCTGGCTTTTGTGGACAAACCCCTCCTGGTAAAATAGAGCTTCATCTAATCCCTGAGACTTCACTTTCAAGTTAGTAACAGGCAGCCCAGCCTGTGCCAAATCAAAGCCCTTCCAGACAACTACAAGATTGTCTGTTATCTGTCTGTCTTCCTTCCTGCTGCTTTCTCTGAGACAAAAGTATCATTTTTTTTCTGAGCCAGTAGCCCCAGGCACAGCTTGAATGAAGGGCCTGGACATTTTGACCCTCTCTCTTTCTGTGGGACAGATCTTAGGTGACTTTGTGTCTAAGGAATCCATTGTGCCAAGTTGCCATTCAACCATGCTTCTCCCTGGAGCAAATAGAAATTAGCGGCCAGCTTCTATTGAGGGTTGCATTGAGTTTAAACAAACACATGAACTCTGGTTGATAGGTGATGGATGAAGAGATAATGACAGATAGATGAAAGGAAGGAAGGAAGGAAGGAAGGAAAGAGAGAGAAAGAAAGAAAGAAAGAAAGAAAGAAAGAAAGAAAGAAAGAAAGAAAGAAAGAAAGAAAGAGGGTAGATAAGATGTGGGCATATATTTTTCCAAAGAAAGAAAATCTTTCCCCAAATACTGCATGGGCTCTGCCTGCTGACAGGCCGCCCCATGTCCTGGCCCAATTGAGGCCACAATCCTTGTGTGCGGGAGGATTTGCAGTGGGTTCTTTGCCCTCATCCTTGTCTGACCCTGCCTTTGCGGAGGAACTGGCAGCTCTTGGGCACATTTTTAAGAGTTTCTTGCAGGAGTTTTTCTTTTTAAAATATCTCTGTAGTTGGCTTGCAGTGTGCTGAGTGGGTGTTTTTTGGCTCCTGATTAAGTACATGGAAGCTGGGATTTTTTAATATATATATATATATATATATACTGTAAGTAGCTAAGATTTTTGATCTCTTGGCAGAAGAACATATTCCCACAAGAGAAAGAAATATTGTTGAGGGGGGGGGATCATAATGAGGGAGTCATTTTCATAAAAGCCAGTAAGAACATAATGTCAAGGAAGTTAGATTTCTGAGTTTAATCTGTTCTTTTCAGTAGTTTCTAGGTTACCTTAATTTATTTCTGCTAAATATAGAAGCATATTAATTAGAAAGCTGCTCACTTCAAGAGGCTTCAGTTGATTGCAAAGGAGATAAACTCATTTTACTTTCCCAATTCGCCCATTAATTATGAAAAGGCCTAAAGACATGGGTCACTTTCCCCAACTGCTTTTCAGAAACAGCTTTTCCTCCCTCAGTTTTTAATGCAAAGGAGACAGTCATAATGGTCAGTGGTTATTTTCTCCATCTTATCAAGAAGGGCTAAATCAGGGGTGAAATCCAGCAGGTTCTGACAGGTTCTGGAGAATCAGGAGTGGAAATTTTGAGTAGTTCAGAGAACTGGCAAATGCTACCTCTGGCTGGCCCCAGAGTGGGGTGGGAATTGAGATTTCGCAATATCCTTCCCCCAGGAGTGGGAGGGAATGGGGATTTTGCAGTATCCTTCCCCTGGAGTGGGGTGGGAATGGAGATTTTGCAGTATCCTTCCCCTGCCACGCCCACCAAGCCACACCCACAGAACTGGTAGTAAAAAAAAATGGATTTTACCACTGGGCTAAATATTTACCTGCCATGATTTGCATAAAATTGCAGGCATAGAATCTGGCAGCTGAGATATAGAGTTGGTGCCCACAAATGGCCTGGCCCTCCAAGGTGTAGGACTACAAATCCTATACTCCACATAGCATGGAGATAGGGGAAGGTCAAGCCAACTCAGTCCAGCATCACTTTGTTGTTTTTAACCATTTAGTCGTGTCCAACTCTTTAAAGGCAAGTGCTCTCCATGACGCTATCATGTCAAGCACAGCTTCTTTCAGCTGCTGGATGTTTATCTTTGCATCAGATCTGATGGGATCAAGCCAGTGAGTTCTTTCTTTGCTCCATCATCTTGTTCCACCAACTGTTCCTAGCATCGTTGCCTTCTGCAATGAATTTCCACGCATGACACAGCCAAAGTAAACCAAACCTAGTCTTACAATTTTAGTTTTTGGTGATATTTATGGTTTTATATGATTTAACACCTCTCCATTAGTTACTCTGTCTGTCCATGGTATATGCAGTAATTTACCCCAGCACCACAGTTCAAAAGCGTCAATTCTTCTTGGATCAGCCATTCTTAGTGTTGTGGTCTGCCAGCAGTCTGCGGAGCTGGCAGCGGAGTTGGACAGCAATGAGGCTGAGGAAGAACATGGGCCAGTCCTGGAGGCTGGGGAAGGCCCGGATGAGGGCTCTGCGTTGGAGGCAGAGATGGGGTCAGGGCCATCAGGGAGTGATGTGCGGACTCCAGAGCTTCCAGAGGCTGACAGTAGAGAGGCAGAGGAACAGGAGGAGCCTGTTCCTAGTGCATGTATGAGAAGAGCTGCCAGAAGGCAGGAGCAACTAAAGCAAAGAGGATGACTCGGGAGTAGGGCCAAGAGATGATTGGCCCCTCCCATAAGGCTTAAAAGACCAGCAACAGCTCTTGGGCTCTTTGTTGGAAAACAACGTTGATAAACTTGGTTCTTATCTTGCTCGGTGTCCTCTGCTTCTGAACTTTTGCCAAGAGAAGCCTTTGGCAGCTTGCCTAATTATACCAAGGTTGCTGATAAGACTTTATGAAGACTTTGTTTGATTTAGTTCGGACTACGCTGAGAATGAGTTAATTCTCTTGCCTGTTCTAATAAAGTCTGTTTGTTTTCAAACTGTTTGCGTCGATTACTACCTACTTGGGCCTGGGTCACTACACTTAGTGTCCAACTTTCACACCCCCATACATCATTATAGGGAAGACTGTTGCTCTAACTAGCCTGCTTTTTGTATTTATACCAATATCTCTGCTTTTCCAGATTTTATTCATGTTAATCCTTGCAGTGCAGTCGAAGGTTACCCTGTATTTGAGATAGGGGCTGTTCCAGGTGCTTGAAAGTGTTTTTTTTTCTGGATGTTATAACTTTGGAATCGGGTCATAAGTAGCTTTTGGAAATCCATTGTAACTTCTAACAGTTGCTAAGTGACCAAGGATAAGTTATGTTATATTGACAATCATTCTCTGACTATTCTGGGACATGAGTAGCTGCTTAAAGTGACCTGAAGAACATCACACTGCAAACTGCTGATTTGAAGTGATGTCCCGGTGCCTGGAGGCCATGCGGATCTGGATGGGGAGGAACAGGCTCAGGCTCAACCCATCCAAGACCGAGTGGCTGTGGTTTCCGACGTCCCGATATAGTCAGTTGACGCCATCGCTGACTATTGGGGGTGAATCGCTGGCCCCCACGGAGAGGGCTCGCAACTTGGGCATCCTCCTGGACTCACGGCTGTCTTTAGAAGAGCACTTGACGGCCGTGACCGGGAGGATCTTTCATCAGGTTCGCCTAATCCGCCAGTTGCGTCCCTTTCTGGATCGGGACTCCCTACACACAGTCACTCATGCCCTCGTTACCTCCCGCCTGGACTATTGTAACGCTCTCTACATGGGGCTCCCCTTGAGGAGCACCCGGAGGCTCCAACTGGCGCAGAGTGCGGCCGCGCGGGTGGTTATGGGAGCAACATGGCGCTCCCGTGTGACACCTCTCCTGTGCGAGCTGCACTGGCTCCCGGTGGTCTTCCGGGTGCGCTTCAAGGTTTTGGTTACCACCTTTAGAGCGCTCCATGGCTTAGGACCTGGCTACTTACGGGACCGCCTACTACCGCAAACAGCCTCCCACCGGCCGGTACGCTCTCATAGAGAGGGGCTCCTCCAGGTGCCGTCAGCCAAGCAGTGTTGACTGGCGGCCCCCAGGGGGAGGGCCTTCTCTGTGGGGGCACCTCCTATCTGGAACGAGCTCCCGCCGGAGATACGGAGGATCCCGGATCTGCGCACTTTCCGCCGTGCTTTGAAGACACTCCTATTCCAGCAGGCCGGCCTGGCCTAATTTTTCCCCTTCTTTTAAATTTTTAAACTCAAATTTTAATTTGTTTTAAATTATTGGGAGTTTTAAATTGTCTCGGGCAAAAATTATTTAATTAGGTTTTAATCATGTTTTAACTTTCTTATTTATGTGTTTTATTTCGTGCCTGTTCACCGCCCTGAGTCCTTCGGGAGTAGGGCGGTATACAAATTTAATAAAATGAAAATGAAATGAAAAATGAAATTTATCAAGGGATCTTTTATGAAAGGCCCTTTTCCACCACATCTTCTCTACAGTCGTCATCCCAGCGTTTTTTGCCCAGCGTTCAGGCAGGGACTAGCCTCGGCTGGCTATTATGTGCTGCCCACCCCCACTTCGTATGTTTCATCCCCTCCACAAAAAAATATTTGCGGAAAGTAAAACAAAAGTAATTTCTCCCCCAGACTGAAAACTGAGATGAACCAGGTTCTGTTCCAATAATGAAAATACTTTAGCAATACTTACTTGTTCCAGTGGAATGACGAGGAAAGAGCCCCCACCAGCACTTTCCGTTACTATGGCAAGGAATCTGGTATTAACTGCACAGAAATGGTTGTCATGGACATTCCTGGTAATTGGAATCCCATCAAAGCAGTGCTCTCGATTGGCTACTTTGCCGTAGACGTTTCGAAACTTGGAACTGCGATATTGTGGCCGCCATGACATCTGCCAAGGAAACACACGTTGTGTGAGCAATGCTATTGTGTACGAATAGAATCTCACCACTGTACTCTCCTTTGGATGGAAGAGCCCCGGAGGAAAACCTTCCAACCGAAACAGATAAAAAGAACCAGTGAGTTTGGGCCAAAACATTCTGTTTCCCACAACTCTCAGGCAGAAAATCCAGAGTTCAGAGACATTTCAGTTGGGTTAAGCAAGAGGCCACCTAGGAACATTCCTGCCCTCCTGACATTGAAGTTTTGGCAATTTAAAACAATAAAAAACAGCATCCCAAAGAGAAAAAACATCCTTCCAACCCACCAGAAGTGTCTCAACCCAAAGTCCCTGCTCACCTTAGATAAGTATTTAGGAAAATGCCACTTCAAGGGGTTTAAGGGCCTCAAATACTCCTGGGTATCTGCAGGAAACCAAAGCTAACAAAGCAATTCCAGACTTGTCTCCAAGGCAGCAGCTCTGGCCCTCATAAAGGAAGACTCGGAGTTCTGAGTGTATTTTGATATTTATGTTCCACTTCTCTTTATAAAAAAAAAGTCAAAATGACCTACTTGAAAAGGTCCAGTCATGAACCTCAATATCACAATAATACTATATAATAACATTAAAACCTAGAATATCATAATTTGGCCTGAGGCATTAAGAAAGATTTCAGCCCATACTGAAAGCTTCATGGAAATCATATTTTTCATCCACCTGCAAAAACTTAAAGAGAAGAGAATTCTGGGCCTAAACATCTTAGGGAGTAACTTTCATGAGATGGGTAGGAAGCACCCCTGGCCAAATGTATAAACACTCTATTTTTGGAAGAGGTAGGAGCTCTCTGAGCACAAGGAAAGGGTCATGGGAGAGAAAACAGGCCTCCTAATATCTTTATGCCAGACTCTTTGATGTTGGAAAGATCTGCAATTGGAGATGTGTTTGGAAAGAGACTGGAAGGCAGTGCAGATAAAACAGGGCTGGCACAACACAATCCACAGAGGACTCCATGAGCCAAGGCAGTCTCTCACTTGCTATCAACTGAAATGTTTAAATGCTTCTTGAAGCGAACACTATAAAGAGTGTTACAGGGATCTAATCAGGAGAGGATTAGGATCTTTACATCCATAGATATGCACCAACTGCTTCCTTATCTGATGCAGAAGGACCCACCTTCAGTCATTCATGCCCTCAGCACCACCTGGCTGAACTACTGCAATATACTTTACGTGGGATTGCTCTTGAAGACTATAGGGAAACTGCAACTGGGCCAGAATGAGCAGCCCACGTATTTGCCAACTCCCAGTGATAGGAGCCCAAACACTGATTTTGTGGGTCCTTCATCCAGACGTGGGTTTCAGCAGGTTCTGACCAATTCTGGAGAACCGGTAGCAGAAATTTTGAGTAGTTCAGAGAACTGGTAGTAAAAATTCTGACTGGCCCCGCCCCCACCTATTCTCTGCCTCCCAAGTCCCAGCTGATCAGGAGGAAATGGGGATTTTGAGGTATCCTTCTCCCTGCCACGCCCACCAAGCCATGGCAAACCCACCAAACCACACCCACAGAACCGGTAGTAAAAAAATTTGAAACCCACCACTGCCTTTATCGATTACTGGATCTAATTTAAGGGACTAACTTGGCACCTGTGGATACCTGCAGGACCAACTTCTCCCATCAGAACCAGCCTGATCCTTTAGGTTAGTGCTTCTCAACCTTGGCAACTTTAAGATGCATGGACGTCAACTCCCAGAAGTTGAGTGGGGATTTCTGGGACTTGAAGTCCATGCATCTTAAAATTGCCAAGGTTGAGAAACAGTGCTTAAAATCTTTTAGGGAAGTACTCCCGATGGTTCCACACTTTCTGGGAGCTGAGGATTAGGGAGCACATTTCTGCAGTGATGCTGTTTTGCTCTGAAATGGCTTCCCCTCATTCGGAAGGGCATTTTCTTTATTCTTGATGTAATATATTGTAGCACTTTTATTATTGTATTTACCTTCATATTCATATTGTTATTTATTTTTGTATTTTGCTGATGTCTTAACTGTTACCGGCAACTCCAGAGCCACCTCCCAGCTTGCCAGCCATGCAGTGATGAAGCTGGAATTGCTGTCACAAGATCCTCCTGATCCCAACAGGGCTGCAACTGGCACATCAGCTGCGCAAGGTCCTCACTGTCACAGCCTCTACCTGCCCTTCCAGAAGGACGACTTCACTGAAGTCAAGAAGGCTTTCAGGGTGGGAGCCGAGCCATTCTCTATCTTGGAACCCGAGGATTAAAAATCTTGGGCCTTTGGAGCCCCTGTCATGGTAAAGCTTGCCTTAGACAGGAAGCGAGAGTTTATTGTTTTGTCTCCAATAAGACTAGAACGCAACAGAAGATCGAGAAATAAATCAAATGGCTAAATTACACGACCCTGTCTCCATGCTTTACCATGAAGCCTTATCACGGAATGCAAACAACCTGCTATTTATTTGTTTATTAGATTTTTGTCCCATCTTATTACTCTGTAAGTAAGTCAAGGTACCGAACATATCCAACACACATTTCTCCTCCTCTTTCCCCCACAACAACCACCACATAAGGAGGGTTAGGCTGACAGAGAGTGAGTGGCCCAGAGTATTTCAGCTCCTTAAAACACCAAGTCTCCTTTGAGTGGAGCTTTGTGCCCCCCGACAGCATGGATACCACCACATGGCTTCCACAATGGTCCATTTCTAACCACTGAGCCCTGGTGGTGCAGTGGTTAGAAGGCAGCATTGCAGGCTAACTCTGCCCACAGCCAGAAGTTCAATCCTGATCAGCTCAAGGATGACTCAGCCTTCCATCCTTCCGAGGTCGATAAAATGAGGATCCAGATTGTGGGGGGCAATATGCTAACTCTGTAAACCGCTTAGAGAGGGCTGTAAAAGCATTATGAAGTGGTATATAAGTCTATTGCTATTGCTACACAATGTATAGTGGTTTTTCTCTTTTTCTGGGATGCTTCTAACATTTGAGCTGAGGTGGAGCAGTGGTTAGAGTGCAGTACTGCAGGCTACTTCAGCTGACTTCTAGCTGCAGTTTGGCAGTTCAAATCTCACTGGCTCAAGGTTGACTCAGCCTTCCCTCCTTCCGAGATGGGTAAAATGAGGACCCAGATTGTTGGGGGCAAGAGGCTGACTCTGTAAACCACTTAGAGAGGGCTGTAAAAGCACCGTGAAGTGGTATATAAGTCTAAGGGCTATTGCTACTGCTTTTTCAATTTCCCACTCAAGCCTATAGCCTCAGGGTTTCCTGGTGGCTTCTACATCCATGCATGGAGTAAAGGCAAGGTCCCAGCCTCTAAGTGCTCTTTCACACTTTCTCTTTTGGAAAAGGGTCCAGTTAACAAGCAAAAGTTGCTTTAAGGTACAGAAAAAGATCGATTTTGCGAAAAGGCCTCAAAGTGACATTTAGAAACAAACATCTAGGCATTTTTTCCCCTTATGGACAAAGCACAACTTTTTACGAATGCTGGTTGCAGTTCCTCTGCCGATAGTCAGTCTTCCCAAATCCCAAACATTATTAAAATTATTCATTTCAGAATCCAAGCTCATGTTTGTTTAACAGTCTTTTTTTTCACTACTGAGCAAAAACAACCCTTTTACACCACACTAAGTGAAGAGTTTTAATGCTCTCCACCCAGTGAGGTGTAAAACCTTAACACCTTAAGACTCCGCCTTGGACAGTTTGGAAAGGGGGAAGAAAGAATGAGATGAAGGACAGAACAGGAAAAAAAGTTCCAGGGCATGTTTGTGATATGGTTAAGTAGGGACATGACCTAAATCAACCAATATAACCACTCAGCCTAAACAACTGATTTGCAAGGATGCTTTTATTCCCCCCCTCCCTCTCTCTCCCCTCTCTCTCTCTCTCCCACACATCCCTCAGCCAAATGCCTTCTGCTCTTAAGCAGCAGAACAAATCCAAGAGAATGTGCAATTTGGGGGGATTGGCATGGTGCACCCTTGATCCTCTGGGCTTCCTGTGAACCATACTAATCCTTTGTCTGGAAATACAAGCAGAAGCTATCTGGCTGTTGCCCTGGTTTCTCTCGAAGGCTCTTTGTGGTGACCAAAGCCAGCAGGAGCAGGAAGTGCTTTGAAGGACGCTGGGAGAGGTGGGTCTCTTCCATGGGATGAATGGCTCCTTCAGGGGCCAAGAGGAAGAAAATTCATGCAGCACAAAAACAGCCCTTGGGGTCACATGAGCGTCTCAAGACAGAGAGAGCTCTCGCACACTAAGCCAAGGGTCACAATTCCCACACACTAAAACAAAAGAGGAAAAAGGAGGACCAGCTCCATCCAAGACTGTCCACCAAGCCCAAAACACCTCTGCTCTGCCACTTTCTGCAAACCTCAAAAGCCTACTCCTGAATTCAGGAGATTATATCATTTAAAGCGAGGCTCGAAGTAAGTAAGTAAGTAAGTAAGTAAGTAAGTAAGTAAGTAAGTAAGTTAAATTTCATTTGTTGCTGAAGGCCAAAATATTAATATATTACAATAGGAGGAAAGTTGTCAGCTTGAAAACAATCAGATGCTACCTAAGAAAAGAGTCACTCCAGGTGCAAGAGATTTGGGTGCTTGTCTCAGGAGTAGATTCTGTGAATCAACAAATATGTTTCCATCAACTAGCCCAGAATCTTAGCAAAGAATTTCCACTTTTTTATTGTGCTCTAAAATCAACTCTGATCACTATGACTTCTACAGAGATTACAGTATACTTCATTCACAGTATTGCAATTAACCACTATTCTCTTATTTACATTTACATTTTGCTTCCCCCCCTGAGAATCAAGATGTCTTCCATGATTTATTCCCACACAAAGACTGAGGAAGAGAGGAACCTAAGGCTGCCCAGAAACCTTTCCATGTTACGGGGTGGACTTGAACCTGAGTCTTCCTCCTGCAACAAATTTACGCCCAGAACTCCTGAATCTCTCTTAATTCCTAGACTGGTGCTCTTCCTATGATTCAGAAGTGACCTTGCTCC